GATGATGATGGTGTGGGACATGAGTTTCATATTCAGTTTGAATGTCAGAATGAAGCTTAATGACTTCCAGAGAAAGGTATTAGCCAAAGTATTATTTGAACCGTCCATCTAAAGTCATCTGTTAACTGGGTGTTTTGTCTAAAGGACGTTCTTCCTCTGTTTGAGTAACATTGGTTGTACTTTGGCCACGCCGTGTGCCATCCTTCTGTTATTGTATGTAATGTGATATGGTCTTGAAAATGAAAATAAGAGACTGAATGTATTTGCCATCATCCAAAGGTTTTTATCACCTTAATTGGGATCAGTGGACCAACAGTATCTCTTTAGCCCATGAATTTAACGATCCAATGCCTGTTGCATTGTTCAGGGACAGGTGCGAATGGTCTTGAATGTGAACCTGTAAGTGCTCTGGGGGGATGCATGTGTTCCTTTTAGTATGATAAGCAGAGAGCATAATAGGCCAGCCAAACAGTATTGTTTGAATGTAGTAAACCACACTGAAAGTGACGGAGGAAAAAGTTTTGTAAATATATTTTTTTCCAATATTTTTATTTATAAATGCTTATTCATAAAACTATGATTGTTGTGTGATTATTACTCATGATATATACTGTTATGGGGCTAAGTAAGCAATCAACCCTGCAAATGAATACTTAAATGTTCTGTATATCTGTTCAGACAAAATGAGTACAAACAGAAGTTCTGCTCCCAACTATGCCCAACGTTGCAAATTTACAACATTTCCCTAAAAACTTACTAGAATGTAAAAAATTTGAACACTCTTTGATTTCTACATCAGAGGCCTCCTAAAACAATATCTGAGAGGTCAAAAAAAAAATTGCTCATTTTTTTCTATATCTGGGTCTTACAGGGCTAAGCTAAGGTGTGTAGTGGGTTTTACACACATCACACCAATCAAATGAGCCCCTCTCCTCGCCCTTAAATGCACCGCACGAAGCGTGATGAGAGTTTACTCAATTCGCCATGGCAGAAGAGAGCAGCAGCGTCAGACGGCCAAACTTCTCCCAGGAGGAAACTGATGTTTTGGTCCGGGAGGTCCTCCACGGGCTGATGATGCAAAGGTAGCCTGGGAGGAAGTCACCACAATTGTAAATCAATATTGCGTTTCTCTCGTGCGCGCGCACTCTCTTTCTCTCTCGTAGTCTCACTCTGTTTCTTTTCTTTTGACTTTTCTAAGATGACAGTTGCTGAATATATACTCCCTATCTGATGCTGTGGCTGTTTGTGGTTGGCTGAGAGGGATGAGAACTCATTAGTTTGCAGCTGTGTTAATCAAATCAGGTTGGGTTTCCATTACGCGTGCCAAACATGCCAAACGGTGCCAATCCCCTTTGATCTGACATCAGATGTGACGGGACAGTCGATATAGAGATACATTTATGTACTGATTGCAGATAGTTGCATTGAATAGTGTTTTTTGGGGTATTTATTGCATTATTAATATGCCTGATATTCTGGAAACCTGCCTGTGAGGTTTTGGTGACGTGTGCGCACTGTCCGCCGGTCAGCCAAACTTCGGCTTACACCGGCTGCGCTCCGCCTGCGCTGACAGTAGACCTGGTTTCAGCTGGCGAGCTTTTAGCGCACCTTAGACGAAGTCTTTTGGCACAAAACTGTCACTGCGCCAAGCTGGATCTGTCGACACCTCCCCCTGCTGCGCCGCCACACCCATTTCAGCGCACCTCGGTCTGCCAAACTACCAAACTGAGCACGCCTCGGGTTGCGCTGCCCGAAACTAGCTCTGCGCGGGGTTCGCCACCCTGCGCTGTGCCGGGAAACTAGAGCCCATAGTGTGAAAAGCGCTTTGAGTGGTCAGATAACTAGAAGTGCACTATACAAGGGAAGGTCCTTTTACCATTTACCAAATATTTCCCCTTCTGTTCCTGAGATATGACAGTGAATAATGGCCAGAAAAGTGTTTTATGCAGAACATTATGATGTAAAGGTGAAGCTGACCTCTGACCTTTTGGATATAAAATGTCATCACTTCATTTTTTTAGCCAACATGATTACTCCAGGGTGATACTTTCTGTGTCCCTTTCTGTCTGTTGCACAGACTCAGAGATGAGTGCTTGAAATGATTATTTGTAAAACTCTAGCAGGCTTATACAGTTTGCCCAAATAATGCTGTTTTTGTGAGTGCTCATTTCCTCAAATGTACAACAGAGTTTGTGAGTGCAGAGTTAGCACAAGCCATAGAGTCACAATAGTCATACTTTTGGTAAATACACCAGGTTGAAATATATCGGCATTTTGTCCATTTATATGCCAAGGCTAACAAAGGGCATTGCCAGACAACATCACACTGCCTTGTTGCAAACCAGGTTCAACTCTTTGTTTTGATGAGCTTCTCTGCGTTTTCTTTGCCTCTGTCTCTACATCAGGAACCCTGTGGAGTCCTATGGTAACACAAGAGTAGCACACTGATGCTGGATAACTCCAGAGTGAAGTGATTCTAATTCAAGCTCTTACCTGAAACTGGTCTCTTAATTTCCAAAGACAGCATAATGGGAAGGTTGTGCATGAGCTCACAGATTTCTTGGTAAGTAGTGGAGCACACCAATGATTCTCCAATTTTTACAATCTCATCTCCAGGACACAGTTTGCCTGTAGATTCCTAGATGTCCAATTAAACAAAAGAGATAAAATTAAGGTTTTTACTGAGTGAAAGTATCGCCAGTACTTAAGCCGCAAACACCATGACATGTCAAATTAATTTGAAATTGAGAGGTTTGGCATAAGGTCTATTCATTCACTGATACTGGACTGATATGAAGATGAAAACATCAGACGTACCCTTTCTGCTGCACCTCCAGGCTTTAGCCCAGCAATGACAACTTTCAGAGGGGATGACATTATCTCCAAGTCAAGCCCGAACGACTCGTCCTCACTTCTCCTTAGGGTCACAGTGTCTATGGTACAAACGCCTATGAGCTCACTGCCATCTCCCTTCTTACAGTGCTGATGGGGTACCAACCCACCAGGAGTCTGAGGGTTTCTTCCACACTGTGTGGCGTTGGGAGGGGGTGGTGATGGGCCTGAGCCTGGAGAGGGCTCATCAGTTTTGGTCTTTTGCTGCTGAAGCAGGTTTGGTGCTTCAATGCTCATCATACTTTTGACCCTTGTCACTGCTTTATGCTCAAGCTTGGGGGAGCGCTTTGACTCCAATTGTCCATCATCTTGATTTGTATAGTTCTCATTACTGATGGTCAAATTATGTGATCCACAGCCCGGACTACCTGCCACCCCTGCTTTGTGGTCCACGGAGCAGCGGACAGGTATGAGAGGTGACTCAGAACCAGCTGACTCAGAATTGGTAATACCTTCCACACACTGTGACAAACTACCACAGAGTGGTGTTGTCACATCACGGCTTCCACACCTCTGCAAATCCCCACCATTCTCACTATTTCCATTTATATCTAATGATGATGTAGCAGTTACAACTGCTGAATCAGTTTTGGAAATTTCGGATGTTTGGGCATCACTGAAGTTAAGACAGTCAGATTTTGTTGGCCTCCTGAAGAGCCCAGTGTTTCCTGCTGTGTCGGAGTCCTCATCATCGCTGAGCCCATCATCAAAGCACATCACCCGTCGCTGACGGAGTAGTGGGCTTCGTGCTGAGGTGGGGCTGGAGACAGCAGTGGGCTGGCAAACTGTCTCTACATGGTGATTTAGAGGAAATGGGGTCTTGTCTTGTGATGTGTTGTAGACACAGCCACTCTCCACTTCTGACAGAGAGGAGGTGAATGCTGAGAAACAGATGAAGGTAACAACAATTAACAGGTTAACAAATTTTCATTGCCTAATAAATCAGACAAAGTTGACATGATGTCACAAAGCATTTAATGTTGTGTCTCCTCAAGTATGTTAATTTTATTCATGTTCATGTTTAGTGTTTCATATTTTATGTCATGCCTTAGTTTAGTTTCATGTTTAGTCCTTTGTTGTCATGAGCACTTTATGTTAAGTTAAAGTCACTCATGTCCAGTCTCGTCGTGCACTTCCTGTTTTATTTTGTACTCACCTTTTCCCTCTCATTTCAGACCCTGACTTCCTCCCTTTGTGTGATTTTCCCGCCATTGTGATTGTCTACCCCACCCCTGATTGGTTTCACCTGTGTTCCCCTACCTCATGTATAAATGTCTCCCTTGTCTCCCTTTGTCTTGTTGCCAGTTCGTCTTGTTCAGTCTGTGTGATGCCAGGTTTTCATGTTATCAGGTTTGATTCTAAGTTGTGATTTTCTTTTTATCCTCATTGTGAGTGTTTTGTTTTGAACTTTGTATATTCTCCTTGAGAGCGCCTTTTGTTTAAATTGATTTTGCCAAGTAAAATACTTTTGTTAAACCTACTGCTAGTCGTGCATTTGAGTCCACCAGTTTCGTGTCTGAGGTCGTTACATTTAAACCTTTTTACAATATGAGGCCATTTGGGGTTTGAATTAAATCAGGGCTAGGCGATAATGTAGAACACTTACTCCTTCCTTTTAATTTGGCACACACTATGTTTGGATTAATGCCAATTTTGGGCTGTTCCATACAAAAGTTCAAGAAAAACTTTAGACCCAATTTTCCATATATTATACTTTTTGACTATCGGAGACAAGTTTTGAAATTGGTCCAGTATAGAGAGACTGCTGCAGCTGCAGCAAAAGGCTCACATTTTTATTAGAAGCATCTGACAACATTACAGAAAAGACCCTACAGAGATATGAACCTTTTTTCCATAAGTTCCATAGTCTCTTGAGAGGTGACTTGTTGCAGGAAAAACAATGATGGAAATGTTAGTGAGAGTTGGAAAGAATTTGTTGTGTTGGAGTACAGAAAGTTTAGCTTCGTGTTATCTCTAACAGATTTTTAATGTCCATGAGATTTTAGAACCAGACGTCTTCTTGAGCAAGACTTAGTTACTCCAGCGAAAGCATGAGCTTTGCTCACCCGTATTTACATCATGTGACACGTGCACCACAGGGAGAGACAACGGTAACCACAGTAGTTAAAAGATAATTTGCACTACGGTCTTTTAGCAAAGGACAGCCCAACATGTCTGAAGACTTTGAAACTGAGGAGGAACAGCATTTCTTTGTTGAGCCGTATTTGTTTGAGCCCGAGTATATGCATGGAACTCAGGCTACTGGACGAAGCAGCCGCTACAGCTCATGAGCCTAACCTTCAGCCAGCCGCAGAATACCGGAGTCGGCACTGGAAACCTGGTGGTGTAGTTGTTTCAAATGCAAAGCAATGCCAACGGATGAGGAAAGTCTTTGCTGCTCAGACTGGGAATTGGCGATGCCTGCACTTGAGAATCTGGACATCAGTACTGACGAGACTGCTGCTCTTCAGAGACCGTGTATCACAGATCACCCTGAGCGCGCACACGTGAGCGCGGAGCACAGAGAAGCAGTCAGAGCTACAGGCTACAGTGAGGCTAAAAACAGAGTTCAAATGACGTTTTTCGAAACAACTTTTTATGTCGGGGCTGCAGCACACTTGGATCACTATGGATGAGCAGTATGGAGATACTTTGTGGATTCAATTTTGTGTTCTTGGACGTTAGTCTGGGGCGCTGTCTGCCATTAGGTGTGCTGGCCGCTTCCCCCGCCGATTTCCGCAAGGGATGTGAGGACTCTAAAACTTCACCAGAGTCTTCCTCAGCATGAGGGTGAGTAGATAATGGCTGAATTTTGATTTTTGGGTGCACTATCCCTTTAAGTTGCCCTTCAACACATCTTTGGCCATCAATCTGCAACAGGGTACCTTAATCACACTGTGGGGTATGCCCACAGATGACTGATTCAGAACTTTGGCGACCAATAACCAAGTCTGTGTTATAATTCTGACAGTGTGAGAAATAACCACATTCGTAAAGTGTGACTGCTGCTATGAGCCACTTATACAAACAAACCAATCACACTGTAGCCATGTTTCCATCAGCCTGTTTAGATGCGCATCTAGAAGGATCACATAGGAAAATTATGATAGAAACGCCAAAATTCGAATTAAAATCCCCTGATTCGCACAAACTAAAATACGCTCGCTTTAGCCGGGTTTTGGTTGATTTGAAAAAAATTTGATTGGCAAAATGGGGGATGGAAATAGTTATGTTCAAATTAAGTTTGACGTAGCGCACCTCTCTCCATGGTGATATCCACACTCCGGGTCGGGAAGGCGGTAATGCATTTACAAGCTGGTTGCCAACCGCCAGAAAACGTAGAAGAAGAATGCAAGACTTGTTTTGTTTCCGGTTCTGTGGAAAACTCGCGCGAGTTCGTAGTTTTCACCATAGTCCATACATTTAATGAAAACACACAGGATTCATATTTCTTGTAATGCGCACATCCCACTGATTCAAATCACTTTTGGATGGAAACATAGCTTGTGACTAAAAATAAATAAAGTAAGTTTGGAACAAGAAAGTACTGTCACACCACCCAGTCCCATAAGATCCACATCCACAGATGCACATCCACTGGTGAATTAATAATTCCTGTATGCCTAATGACAGATTAAGTAGTTGACTGTAATTTTGTGATTTATAACCCTCATTTTAACATATCCACACCAATTTTAGTATGTCTTAAAGTAAAAGGGTAACGTCATTATTTTCCAACCTGGACCCTAATTTCCTATGTTTTTGTGCCTAAGTGACTAACTGGAGCAACGATTTTTTAAATTCAGTACTGAGTAAGGCTGTTGCAGCTGGCAGCCATGAAGCAGAGTGCAATGTAACCACTCAGGGCATGTCTGCACCCTCCACCTTTTGAAAGTATTTGTTTTTGCCACTAACAGGCTCAGATTGTCATTCTAATGGTCTGACAACATTATTGAAAGAATCCCTATAGAGGTAGACCTTTTGGTTAAGGGATAACATCCTTTTTGCTTAACCAGAGGTGGCCTTAAAATCCTCATCACAAAACCCACCACAATCCATTTAAATGAACAGTCATTTAGGCATGTCTTACTGGTTGAAATAAGGGTTAATTTTAACCAAACCAGAGTTGGTGATTTTTGGAACAGTGGAGAGATGAACGGGATTCTCTTTTGAGTTTTCTTTTGCTTTTATTGACTTTGAATGAAGTGTGTTACAATGATAAAAGTATAGTTAACTAAATGGAATCTGTTAGGTTTGGTGATCAAAAAGGATCTTACTCTTTAACAGAGAGGTTGACCTCTGTAAGGCTCCTTTCCATGTTGTCAGACACTTAGAACAATGGTCTGAACCTATTAGTGGCAAAACAAGCACTTTTAGTGGAAGTACATTGGCGGTGCTCAATTGCCCATAAAAGTTACATTGCAACCTGTTTGTAGCAGCATCACTAAATGCTGGACCAGTTTTAAAATTGTTGTTCCCATTAGTCACTCAGACACAAAAGCATAGGAAAATAGGGTCCAGGTTAAAAAAATGCAGAAACTACCCTTTAAATAAAGTTAAACACTTGCTGTCAATTTTTTAGAGGCAGGTAACCTGATACGGTTTGACAAGCCTCAGTATAGACTGTTTACATCTGGTCAACTGTGGGGAACAGTGTGAAAAACAATCATGAAACAATGGCCTTTCAATTTCACGAGCTAAAGATAAAATACCTTGAGGGGAGCATGAAATGAAAACATGTTTGATTGAATTTAAAGTGATGCTAGAATAGTGAAATAAAAATGCAAAAACAGTCAGTCCTAGTTTAGGTGAATATACTCCTTTCTACTGCACAATATAAAAAATATTGTCATCTGAACACACTCAAGTCTTCCTCAGCATTCTTATTAACAAAAGACATGGGTCTCAGAAACTGGTCATCTAACTGAGTGCAAGGCTCTACAGAGGGCCATCCGTGTTGGCCACTGTAGTTCTCCTACACATTTGGAGCACTGGAAAATTTCAGTTGGTTGTAATCTGCAACCTCATTACTAGATGCCACTAAATTATGGACATTAGACCTTTAAACCTGTGTCCACTAAGATTTCATTTAAGACTATCTTTAATCCTGGGGTAACTAAAATCTTCCTTCAGGGTTTCATTTGAGTCCATTCTAAACTGGCTAACCCATACATGACAAAGCCATTTTCAGTTAATCTGGTTTCAAGGTCACTTTAGAGCTAAATTTAGTCCCTGCCCAGGGCACCAGGATTAAAACTTTTCTGTGGTATTTAAATGGGTGAAATTTTTACCATGTGGCTGTGTTGAGTTGTCATCCATTGAGGCACTGCAGCTCTGCTGGTGGAGCGCCTCATCGCTGTTGGAGCCAATCAGCATGGATTCAGACAGGAAGGACTGGCTGGAAGAATCCTGAGAGAAGTACTGAGATAACTCTGTCTCTGAGCTCAATGACCCCTGCTACAGACATGTGAAAATACAAGAACATATCAGGGGAAAGAAAAATCAGAAAAACACACCCACAAATTTTCTAAGTAGTTTTTCCACAATAAGCTATTCAAATGAAAATGTTCCTATTTGGCCAAACATCCACCGAGAATGAACTACTGAACTTTAAATATGTTGCTGGTCAGAAACAATGGTCACAACCTGTGTCTATCAGATGAAAGGCTATCTGATGCCTTTTGATTTTATTCTATTTCTCTGATCAACAACTGTTGGTGTTAATACAACTGGAAACAGCATTGTGCCATCAAGAGGCAGGGAGGAAGAAGACTGCTGGCTGTACCCTTAAAGTGATACCTATGCCAGCAGCGTACTTCATTTGTCACCCATAATGAGAATATAGTGGCTAGGGTTGCCACCCGTCCCGTATAATACAATCAGCCCATATTGAAAAATAAAATGCACTGTCCTTTACTGATTCAGTATGAGGTACAATTTATCCTGCATTACTGTGCAAACCCTTCCCTACTGCACAAACTATGCTTTCACATGCTTGGAATGACATGAGTAATATTAAACCAAAAGAGTTTCAAGAGACACAGCAGGAAAATATCAAATCAGAATTTGCAGAGGAGAATGTCACAGAATGACCAGTCTGTCACTCAGCGTTATCGTTGCCATAGTTACAGAGACTCCGACCCTCAGGATCACGGGTAGCATGCTCACTGACCCGCTGACTGACTGCTGCCTGATAAAGCTTTGAAAAGGTTCCTTATGCCCGGGTATTAAACTACAGAACTTACATGTAGGCCTACTTGCAAACAATCATTGCGGTGATATTTCAGTCATTATTATAAAACACGAGACAGATAATTGATGATTAATTTATAGCCCTCACATTAAAACAGACTTTACAAATTGCTGCAAAATTCAGGATAAAATTAAAAGATTAAGAACATGGAAATAATGGCTTCAATGTAAGTTAATTTAAAATAATGATAATGATAAATTCATCATAAGCAAAATATTTAATTAGGGCTATGCCTAATTAAGTTTATGAATGTGCCTACAGGTAATATTTTACACAACACCGTGCAGACTGCAAAATAATACCATAATCACTAATATTGGCAAACCTACAAACAAGGCGCAACTCTAGGAGGATATAACTGTAGAATATGAAAAGTTATTTTTTTTCAATCAATCAAGTTCAATCAATCAAGTTTATTGAACAGACTCGGGTTCCATAAAAGCACATACAAAATTTAAAAACACACAAAGACATTAAAGAAAAAATTCAATGAACAAGGCACTGGTACCAATATGTCCAAAATTGGGAACCATATCTGACAGTGCTAAACTTGGGGTTAGTCAGCACCTGGATAACACCATTCATTGACCCGTTTAGACGGCATATAAATTTATACATCAAGTTCCTCAGCAGAGCTTCAAAGTTGTGAATTCTGGCCATGCACAGTTCAGTGGCACTATTCCACCTGGACTTGTTTAAGAGAAACCTAAAACAGTCATTGTATGCAACCCGTAGTTTGTGATGGCTCTCCTTCCTAAACTTCACCCACAAAGGGGCAGTATACAACGGTGTACAAAAACATCTAAAAAGAGTGAACTTGACATAGTCAGAACACCAGTGAAATCTCCCAGCCAGCATATTAGCCTGTGCATATAACAAGTGGTGCTGTCCATACATGTCATCATCATCTAGCAGTCGATCAGTTATGAAATGTCCCAGATACTTAGTTTTACTGCAATCAGATAAAATTTGTTCTCACAGCTAGAAAGATAGAAATCTGAGGTCCATGCCCCCCTTAGCCCTACAGATCAGAACCCCACTCTTTTTTGCATTGTATTTCACATTAAATTTAATGCCATAATCAGAGCATATATTCAGCAGTTGTTGAAACCCTGCACTACTAGGAGAAATAATAGCCAGGTCATCAGCGTACAGCGTGCTCTGATTGGCATACCAGAATACCAGGATCCTAATTATGGTAACAGGCACTCCCCTTTGACTCAATTTAACAAATAATTTATGGTGATTTACCCTATCAAAAGCCTTAGAAGCATCAATAAAACCTACTAAAACAGAAGAATTATCTTGTATATGTTTCAACCATCTCTTTTAGAGCATAAATACATAAATCTGTGCTGTGCTTGGGCTTAAAGCCGAATTGGTTGTCTGTAGTAAGAAGAAAAGAATCTAATCTATCTAACAAAATTTTCTCCAGTACTTTGGATAACACACTGGCTAAAGCAATAGGTCAGTAGTTATCTAAACTCCCCACTTTGCCAGCTTTGTCCTTAATTGCAGGAACAAGAGTGACAGAGAGCATGGAGCCTGGCAGTGTGCCATGGGACACATGTTTAAGGTGCTCAACAGAGATGTCATCTGAGCCACATGACTTGTTATCAGCTAACTGGGAGATAGCTAGGTAGACCTCATTGGCTGATATTCCATCAGAGTCATGAGATTCAATATTACCCACTTTAAAGGGGTCACTTTTAATACAGTTAAATAAATCAGAATAATGTTGCCTCCACAACTCAGCAATGTTACCCGCTCCAGAGACTCCATCTATGGTATTAGGTAGAGATGTGTTACTCGTATTAAAGCTTTCGCCTCCTTCCAGAAGCCTGTTACATCATTACCCGGGAGCTTTTCAGCCATCAGTCTGCTCTCATTACTTGTTCATGTTTGCTGACATAACACACTACATTTTTATATTTAGAATTAGTTAACTTTTTATGGTCAAGGACAGGCCCCTCTTTAGGCCTCCCTGTGAGGACCCAGGCCTTATGGGCCTCCTTGGCTACATTGTGATGGGCTGCCACATGTTTATTCCACCCTGGTATAATGTTTTGTCTGTTATTATGGTGGGTGAGGCATGGTTTACCGGCCTCAATAAAAGCACCAACTATACAGTTATTCATAGTACATAGGTTCTCTCGTTGTGCGCTTCAATTACAGTTCACATCAGTACACAAGATGGCGTCCTTGGGTAAGAACACATCACTCAGCAGTATATCTACCCTCCCATAATATAATAAAACATTCTCACTATTGAGCTTGGACCAGTTTAGCTTTGGAGTGCAGGCTGAGCGGACCTCCTGAGATAGGTCAGGAAGAGTCACACTCTACAATCGTAACAAAGGGATCATGATCAAACATGGATGCATCATACTCAATTGTCATTGAACTAATGCTAGCATGGACATCAGCAGTGCTTATACAGTGATCGAGCCAGGATGTGGAATGCCAGGCTTCACTAATAGGAGAAGCTATCAGCAGGCAAGAGCTTTTGGCTAGATAGGATAAGATTGTTATCTTCACAGAGCTGCACCATATGCTTGGCAAACATTGACTTACTATCCTACTACTAACTATACAGACCACCTTTCAAACTACAAAGACCCCCTCAGTGCCACCCGGTCCAACTCCTACTCACAACTCATTCACTCTGGCTCCAATAACCCCAAGACTCTCTTTTCCACTGTCAATAAACTCCTCAAACCCTGCGACAACACCCTGTCCTCCATCACAACTGACAAATGCAACTCCTTTCTGGCATTTTTTCAATCAAAGATCGAAACCATTTACACTCAACTCAGCAACCCCCAAATCATGGCTCAAATCATGCCTCACCGACAGACATCAGTTCATCCATGTCAACAACTGCACCTCCTCCACCGTCCCCCTGCTTCAAGGTGTTCCTCAGGGCTCGGTGCTTGGTCCTCTCCTCTTCATCATCTACTTACTCCCCCTTGGTTCTATCATTCGTCATTGTCTCCATTTCCACTGCTACGCTGACGACATCCAAATCTCCATCTCCACAAAATCCATCATCCCAGCCACCCGCTCGACCCTCACCAACTGTCTGACTGAACTCCAATCATGGCTGCAAACCAACTTCCTCAAACTGAACTGTGACAAATCTGAAATAATACTCATCAGCCCAAAATCCCTCTCTACATCAGCACAAAACTTCACCCTCAGCATCGACAACACCACCCTCTCTCCGGCCCCATTCATCCGCAACCTTGGTATCATCTTCGACAATAACCTCTCATTTGAACATCACATCAGCCGCCTCACCCAAACTGCCTTCTTTCACCTCAGAAATATTGCCCGTCTCCATCCATTACTCTCCTTCTCTGCCGCTGAAACTCTCATCAATGCTTTCATCACCTCAAGACTGGACTACTGCAACAGCATCCTCTACGGCTCATCATCCAAAATCCTCAACAAATTCCAGTACATCCAGAACTCTGCTGCCCGCCTCCTCACCCACACCCGCTCCTGTGAACATATAACCCCTGTCCTGCAAAACCTACACTGGCTCCCTGTCCCGTACAGAATCAACTTTAAGATCCTCCTCCTTACCCACAAAGCCCTCCACAGCCAGGTCGCCACGGACATGCTCCACCACCACACTCCCTCCCGCAACCTTCGATCATCCGACAAAAACCTCCTCTCACCTCCACACAGGACCAAGCAGCAAACCTGGGGCGACAGAGCCTTCTTCATAGCCGCCCCCTCCCTCTGGAACACCCTCCCTATACACATCCGTGACTGTCCAAATCCATCCACCTTCAAATCACTCCTCAAAACCCACCTTTTCAAATCTGCTTTTAAGCTTTAAACATTAGCTTTTCGTTCTCTGTTTCTCATGTACCCCTCTTTTTTTCTTTGTTTTGCTCTATGCTTTTGCACCTTGTTGTTGTATTTTGTCCTTGTCTTGTTTATCTCTTCGCACTTATATGTATGTACTTCTTTTCTTTGTTTTAAATGAAAGGCATCTTTGAGAGCTGTAAAAAGCACTATATAAATAAAATGTATTATTATTATTATTATTATTATTTACTATCTGACAGGTCAGCATTCATGTCACCCACAACAAAGATGCTCGTGGACTGGTTCTCAGAAATGAAAGAGTTAATAAAAGCAAGTCTGTTCAGGTATTCATCTTCATTGAGTCTGGACTCATATGGTGAGTACACATTCAAGACGACAAACTCACTGTTATTCATCTTTATCTGCACACCAATGCACCAGTCTGCTTTGAGTTGGATGACACTGGCTACGGTTACATGATGGCTTCTCATTTGTAATGAAATAAATCTGAATGAAATCATTCGGAATTAAAGTTTTTCCAGGTAGTTTACATGGGAAATATTCATTCCGAATGAGGGTTTACATGGGAGATCAGTTCAATCGCCTTTATTCAGGTCTGTGCAAGGTTTGGGGCAGGGAAGGTTTCTGATTGGATAGGGGGCGGGGCGGATGTTACGTGTTTACGTTTACCGGAAGAAAACACTGTAGTCCATGCTCCGGATAACAAGATGCTTGACGACGCCGTTCTTAGTGCCTTTTTCGGGCTTGTTTTGCTTATATTCTTGAAGCAGCAGTACGACAACAACCTTGTTCTGCTAATGCTTCATCTGTTGAGGAGGAGAAGGGAGGTAGAAGGTCGAAGAAGGGAGGTAGAAGACCGTGCTGTGGCGAATGGAAACCGGTGAGTGCAACAAGTCCGACTGCTCTATCTCAGCCCGTTGCTATGCAGCCCGTTGCTATGCGCGCTATATACGTCATCGCGCCAGAAGGGCAAGGAAACGAGCATGCGCAGAAAGACCGGAATGAACTTAAAGAGGAATGAGTGTATACATGCACACAAAATTCTTTCATTCGGAATGACGAACGGAATAAACCACCCCCTTTAATCGGATTTAATTTTCAATCGGAATGACCGTTTTTCAATCGGAATGACCGTTTACATGACCACTTTTAATCGGAATGGCCTTTCATTCCGATTAAAAGTGGAATTAAACTGTGCATGTAAACGTACTGACTGACCACTGGGTCATACCTTTTGTGCCAGAGGATGGCTACACCCCCAGGAATTCTTCTTCTGACGATGCGCTGCGAGAAATCAATAGTAGCCTCCCCAGAACCATGAAAGTTAACATTAAAAGAGTTAACCCCCCCCCCCCCCAAGTCCTGTTTGGATAGAAACGTCTCCTGTTCTTAAAAGGTTTAATTTCAGGATTCCTGCATAAAACCTTCCCTATCTAGCTTCTTCCAAATTTACCAAACAGTTTCTTTTGACAGATCAAACATTTTGCCCATGTCTCTTATCAGATATTTTCATCTTCAATATAACCGATGCAACTGATTACTATAATTGACTCTTTTCCCTTTACATATATTTTGAGAGAAGCATAGGACTTTGAACTTTATACATTTAATAACCCAAACTGGTGCAGAATGCAGGAAACTGAGTGTCTGACATTAAAAATCCTCTTGGGGAAGACCAGGTCTAGGATCAGGCTGCCAGCGCAGAAAGGATCAAATACATCAAAGGTATCGAGTACCAATACCCAGTGTAACAGTCACTGGATCTAAACATGTTAAATGAAATCAAATTTTTTCGAATGTTTTATGCGGACAAAAATCTTCAAACACATTTGTTAGGCCTACAGGATACACAAGTGTGCGTCAGTGAGATATACCTAACAGTAATAAAACTGTTTATATGAATGCTTCTCAATAAATATTCCATTGTTACTCTTTTTTCAGAAATTGAATGCTGTTATTATTTGGGATCAGAAAAACCTATTCATAATAACAATAATAATAATAATACCACTATTATTATTATCATCATTATCATTATTATTATTATTTCAGAGCAGAAGTTATGCACATAGTATGTCCTCTATCATCCCAAGTCACAGGTTGTTTTTTTGTTGGAATGAGGGCTCAGTGAGTGCCTGGGTGAGCGATTAATACTAATGTATTTGTATTAATATTTTTTTTGCCTTCTCCAGATTTCTGCCTAACTTGGCTTTAAGAGCAATAAAACTGAACATAGCATTGTGGGTGTACGAAATAAGCAATAATACAGTGTTGTGTGAAAACTTACCCTACTGGCAGGCTCCAGGAATCTCTTCATTGTCCAGCTGAGAGCAGGGGAACCTTCTCCCTGCTTGTCCTTTGCTGTTGGGTAGGGACTCTTACAGGACACACCTACAGATTACAAGCAAGACAGATCAGATACCCCGAGCCATGCTGCTGAACTTTCTTTCAACAGTTAGCTGAAATATGGTGCTCATATTGTAACCTGGACACCTGTAAAATGACTGCAGTGCAGGAGTAAACAAAAGAAGAGAAAATAAAAAATGTAACTGCAGGTAAAAAAAAAAAAAAGTCACACCTTGGGAGTAAGACGAGTGCCTGTTCTTGCTCATTTTGTCCCTGTGTGTAGATCGAGCTATGATGTGATCCATCTCCTGTTCTGATACCTGAAAAAAGACAATGAGATGCAAGAGCTTTATCAAAGCTGGAACAATACAACGCTGACAACTACAAAAAAACAAACAAACACAACAGTAATTAAGGCATCTTCATCCATATCCATCTGCCAGTTTAATATGCAACTCAGTTTTATATAATATGTGTAGTAGGGGGTCACTATTCCATCGCTGATTGAGCCAAGGGGTCCTTGGCCTGAAAATGTTGAAGAATCTATAAAAAAGAGACAGACATCCTCTTACCTTAGGGTTAGGGTGCCTGCTTATAATGAGACTGACAGGTCCAGGGCCACATTCACTGAGGATGGCATAGGCCTCACTTAGAGCAGCGTGACGGAGACTAACTGAGTCCACCTCCAGTATCTGATCTCCACGACTGCACAGAGGAGCACAGGCATTAGCACAACACTATCAAAGACCTCTCTTTGACCCAACTTAAATGCACACATGTACATTCATATGTAAACATAGAGTGCACCGGGAATGAGTCCTAAAACCCATAACTGAGTTAGCATTTTATCACACATGGTTCCATTGTCTTTGAGTCAGCAGGTTCTTTGAATGGGTTTTTGGTTAGATGCCTGAAAGAAGGTCTGTGGTTATCACAGGCTGAAGAGATTTTCATGGTTTGTTTTACAAGATAAAATATGTCAGTAAATATCCCACTTGTGAACTTTGAAGCTTCTATGTATCTTTAAAAAGGCAGTTGCTAAGAAGTGGCTAAATGAGACTACAGAACGTCATCATGCTGAGCTGCACCCAAAACAGCTTCACAGTCTTGTTATGGTGGTGACGTAAGATTATGCGACAGTATGTTTATAGCCTAATGTTAGCTATTTAATTCTGGCGACTGGATTTAGGCTTCCATAATCATGAAAATGATGCTCATTTGTGAAGATTATCTTGTTGAACAAAATGTGTAAGTATCCGGACGATGCCATGCTAACTTCTGCAACGGCCTTCAGAAAAACATCATCCCTTGAGCATTCTATCACATGACCAATAAAATACTTCTCAATCAATGAGTTCATATGAAAATAATCTGCTTATCTAGTATCTTGGCATCAGTGTGGCTTCATATTAACTTCAATTGCATCCACCAGTTTCAATTCAAAGATGACCCTGATGTTTGTACCTGAGCCTGCCGTCCATCTTTGCAACAGATCCCAGTGCCAGGCTGTGGATGTAGATACTAGGAGCAGAGTTCTCCAGGGTCAGACAGCAAACCCCAATCCCAAGACCAACACCAGGCTCTAAAAAACAAATTAGCCATCATTGCAAAAATCGTACAAGACCTCTGTCTAAAGTTTGACAGCTAACGCACATATGTAATTCATATTGGGATATTATTACAGCCACAACAAGCAGTCATGAATTCACTATACAAAAGCATGAGGACGTACTGCCCTCATCAAAATCTACAGCTTACAATGATATTTAAATCGCAGGGTTCTTGCACATTTTTACCAATGAATTTTCTAAACTTTTCCATAATATTGGGCCTACATGGTGATACAGCCATACATTATTAAACACACACTTCCCAGGTATTTATGGATAAGCAAACTGCTAGTGCTACTTATCTATACTCAATCATTAGACATTCAAATAGCTGCATATGCCCAATAGACCAGAGCGGCACATACAGTCACTTAGCAAAACAACAAGGCCCCGCCCCTTTTAGGGAGAACTGAAAATCATATAGATGTCAATGCAATTTGACATCTGTTTGGATTATAATTTTGACATGTTTGTGTGCATTTATGTCTAATAATTGATTCGTGATCTTGCCTGAACCTAAGCGTATACATGCCTTAATAAATGAAGGTTGATCAGTGTCATGTCCCTTCAGTCTTCCCAGGTCCAAGTGGATCAATGACCCAACATGGTGGCCTGATATTATAGATGTCCAGATCACGATACTTAGAGATTCAATCAAATATGAATATGTGATTGAATCGCTATTTATCCTTAGGCTATCCATCCATCAGTAGTAACTGTCATCAGCATCATTTAGCAATTTACCACACTGACAGTGAATATTCACATATCTTATGTGCCTCAGATGTTGATGTGTAAGCCCTGGTAAACCTGCTACACAACAACTTTTTGCCATTTTCCTGTTTCTCTCCTAATGTGACAGCATGTTTCTTTCCCAAAAGGGGGTGTGGCCTTGGTGATGAAATGATCCCAGTCTGGTCTATGTGTATTATTTGATACTAATGACGTTTCAACAGTCATGCAGCACTAGATCTGAAATTAGTTGTATAAGGGATGTATTTGACATAATGTCAGACATGTTTGGGGATTTTTATGAACAGATATCAAACCTAAACCAAAACAATGCATATTTAATTTTTTGTTCCAAAATATTCTTCCAAACCATATTCAGGCCTTGAAAATAGTTTTTCTTATTTCAAAACTTTTTGAGACATTTTATGACTGTAATAGCGCTCTTCCAACTTCTGTTTCAACATGACAAAATGCCAGCTCCGTTTTCTAGTTTCCTAGTTCCTAGGAAGAATTTCACTGAACCCCATCCAACACCTTTGGGATCAGCTGGAACTCTGTCTGTGAGCCAGACCTGATCACCCAAGATCAGTGCTTTTTCTACAGCTCCACTGTCTTTATGTCTGTGATTGATTTTAGCTGTTTGTGATGCATCTTGTGATACTGCTTGTTGGTTTGACATGTGTATAAATACAACACAAATTCACTGTTTGTCTGTGTCAGACACCAGCAGGACCTCTCCAAACAAGAAGTGAAGCGAAAACCAAGGGCTGCTATCTGAATGTATCTTGGGGTTCTCCATCAAGACAGCCAACCTTTATTAAGCGTGACTTCCATGATGATGCAGTCTTTTGGACCAGGACCGGGGCCCTTGTGGCCATCAGCCTCTTCAAACCCTGAGGGGACAGGTGTTCCTCCACTGGTGTTGGAGTTGGGTGAGCTGGAGCGGCTCAGGAGGGTGGGGGTTGGACAGGGTGTCAAGCTGGGACTGCGCAGACGAGTTCGAATCGTCAGTGTCACAACACCTTTCTTCAGTTGCTGTTGGAAGAATAAAAATCAGGTACAACATTAGGGAAGAAAATATGAAAATGGTCTTAGTTTAAACCTTTAAAAAATGCAAAGAGTAAAATTAAAAAAAATGCTTATTTCAACAAGTCCTTGGTCTTTTCACCCAAAGACATGATCAAGTCAGTTCACTTGCCCACACTGTGAGCAAAAAAAGAAACTTAATAAATTAGTCAAAAACATTCTTTTGTCTGAAGGAAATACATACAGTATTTCATTTCGATAAATAATGAAAAAATGTAAAAGTTTGACTTTCTTCAGCTTTTCATGTCTGATTCAAAGCTACACCTGGGAACTTAATGAAAATAACTTTTTGACAAATTTGCTTAAACTGTTACTATATCTTGACAGTAGTGCATGAGACAGATAACTTGTGAATAAAAAGTCATGTTCCTCCTTTAATGACATTTGCAAGAATCTACCACGGCTCATGCAAAACAACCAATCAGAGCTGAGTAGCCTCTAACGCAGATGTCAATCATGTCAATCAGTGCTTGTGAACTGCTGTCCAACTTTCAAACTAGACAGCGCTTATCAAATTGTGTGACAGTTTAGTGGTAAAATAAGAAAGTTGGTGTTTGCAGTGCTTGGGTTTCACTTGACTGTTTTTTCAATATGGCGGTCGGGTCACAAACAGACAGACAGATCTGTCTCTTGTAATACTGTGTGGACACAGTGGCAGTTTCTGCAAATCTGACAAAAAGAAGTTTAAAGTTACCGACTACAGCTTTAACAACACTGTTCAACAGAACTTATCTTCAATCATACAGTTTACCTTGAAGGTCTGGATGGCCTGTTGGTGTGTGAGTCCCTGCAGAGACTCTCCATTCACCTCCAGAATCTCATCTCCTTCACAGGGAAGCACAAAATTAGCATCAAATGTAAATGTTGAGCACAGTTTCTCTTATGATACATTTTACTTTCCAACATAATCTCTTAATTCCGTTCAGTAACACAGAATGAAAGAAGTGATTACCCTCTTTCAGTCGTCCATCAGCTGCTGCAGCTCCATGAGGGAAGATGGTCTTGACAAAAATCCCCATCTGACCACGTGCTGAGTCTTGCCCACCAACAATACTGAATCCTAGGCCCTGTAGAAATTAGATCTCAATTAACACTAGAACCACCGGGGGTCGCTGTACACCTAAAACTGTGAACAGGTTAAATTGACCTGCTACTGGAATGCATTTATTTTTGAGGTACAAGATGTTGTAGAATAAAATAATGAACCTCATCACCCATTTATTTATCACTCTACCACACATGGGTGTATAACTAGATGCCACAGCTGTAGTGACAATATTACTAGAAATATATAATAATAAACTTGCACTGGAAATGTCTAATGCCTGATGTACATCCATAAATCTTTTTCTCTTGTCCATAGTGAAGGTTAGCCTATGACCTATGATGCTGCTCTATCACACATAGTTGACAAAATGCTTTGCCACAGCAGCATAAAATGTTTATCTAAATGTGCAAAATGAATGGTGGGAAAATGAATCCATGTTTCTTTTAGGTATAAGTGGACATTTTTTAAAAAAAAAATCTGGCTTTATCTTGAGAATTCGTAACAATAAAGCGTGCTTCATGACACACTTTAAGAAAAAGTCACAGACTGGGCAACAAAGCAACACACAGTTAAAATACAGCTGCAGGTAAATTTTACCAGTTGGTAGGTCTAGCGTTAATGTCTGAAAGGACTAACAAAGTCACAGCAGTCAGTGTTTATTGATTCTGTTGTTGTTTTTTTCCAGACAATTACTTTTGGGATTTTGTTTTCTGGTGAGACACAAGAGAGAAGGGGATAATAAAGATCAGAGGTTCTGCCCTACAAACCTACATTTCATGCTACCTAATACAGGGTTTTCCTGTATAGAGAATTAAGAGGCGGCCGTCTGTCAAATTTTGTCCTGCCCCCAGCTATCTACAACACTCTGACGTAGGTCATGACAGAAAATGCTCTTTTAAGTGTTGCACTTAATGAATTTATCTCATTTGTAACTGCAATTGTGTTAGTAAACAGATGTAGTGGTCAGTGGTGTAACAAAATTATGACGGGCCCCAGTGCACACTATTATGATGGGCCCTAGTGCACGCTACCTTGCATGTATTGTCATTATACAAATAGAGACTTGACATTGGACAACATCAACATACATATTACCCAGAAATCATCACTACTTACCTGACAAAAAAATATCAAAGAAAGTAAGAACTGTGTAGTTTAATAGTTTTTAGACTTGATTTATAGATTTTGTAGCTTATGTAGAAAAATCATATAGTTTAGTTTTTTTAGCTAGTTAGTTAGCTGGTAGCAGTTTATTTTTAACATATAAGTAGCAAATAAACCAAAACAGGTTCCTGGGAGTGGGAGGAAGTACAAACTTATTTAGTCCCCCCCTTCTCCATATATCAATAATAGTCAATTATGTAGCTCTCTATTAATTTAAAGCTGTACAATACTTGATTTTCCTAGGGTGTAAATAATTATGAAAATACTTTAAAAGTCCATATATATATATATATATATATATATATATATATATATATACATGTGTGTGTGTGTGTGTGTATACTAACAGGAAAAATCATCTCATACTCAAGATAAAAAAAAAGAAAGAACAAGAAGAAGAAAACAAACTGGAGGAAAAAATCAAACAATTACACAATTCCTATGCAGCCAACCCCACAGAACAAATACTAACAGAAATTAGAGAAGCCAAATTCCAATTCAACAATATAATCAATAAAAAGACACAATTCATGTTACAGAAACTACGATATAGTCATTTTGAATGTAATGATAAATCCAGCAAATACTTAGCAAATCAGCTTAAAATCAATTATCTCAACTGTCAAAGATTCAAAAGGGAACATTACTAGCGACCCGCAAATTATAAGCAACATCTTCAGAAAATTCTACTCTGAGTTATACAGTGACAACAAGAAAAAGAACTTAACAGCAATAGACAACTTTTTAGATGGCATCACACTACCCTCACTAACTAATGACCAAGCAGACTCCCCATTAGCATCCACAGAATATGAAAAAGCACTAAAAAACATGTCAAATAATAAAGCCCCCGGACTAGATGGATTTCCCACTGAATTTTATAAACACTTCTGGCAAACACTTTCACCACTATTCACTAATGGCAGACGAGACTTAAAAAAAAAACAAATCCATCCCTTATCATATGAACACAGCACTAATCTCAGATTTACTCAAACCAAATAAGGATCCAACTGACTGCACAAGTTATATTTCTTTAATAAACACCGATATCAAAATCATTAGTAAAGCACTAGCAACCCGAACTGAATCAGTAATTTCAACACTAATTCACCCAGACCAAAGATGCAGATGACATACTTTTATTCATACAAAACCCAGACAGATCAGTCCAAGAACTTATCAAAACCATCAATACATACTCCAATATTTCTGATTACACAATAAACTGGAATAAATCCACCACCTTACCAATAAATGGAGATAGCTTTCATACTATGCCACAAATCCCCCATTTACCACCCACTACTGGTAACATCACCTATCTAGGCACAAAATTCTCCTCCGAGCTGTCAGAGTTATTCCACCTGAACTTCACACCATTAAAAACAATAGAAGATGACTTAAACCGATGGATGACACTACCACTTTCCATTATAGGACGCATAGCAACAATAAAGATGATGGTATTGCCAAGAATCCCAATCTAACCTACAGTAAAATGGTTTAACACACTGGACACATTAATAACAAAATTTTAATTGGAATTTGAATTTAATGGGATTATCTGAATCAGACAAATGCACTCATTGTACACTTAATACAACTGACAACTACCTCCACGCACTCTGGTCATGTCCACCAATACAACATTTCTGGCAACAAGTAATCACCACACTATCCCAATTGCTTAGCATTACCATTCCATTATCCCCCTCTCTATGTATACTTGGTGATCTAAATACAATTGATATATGTCCAAACCAAATCATAACACCACTTCTTGTGGCCCTAACTATCGTCAAGGAAACAATACTACTTAACTGGAAAAACAGGAAAAAGTCAATATCTCACAATGGTCAGATCTCCTAACACAACACATATCACTGGAAAAACTATCAGCTTTGCAAAAAAAAACCCAACTTGAACAATTTGATAAAATATATTCAACAATTCTCAGCACTGTCCTTTTGCCGGTGAGCTGATGCCACAATACAATACAATACAATATAATACGGATAAAAAAGTAAACACAATTGTGTAGCTAAGGGAAGGGAAGGGAGGGGAAGGAAAATAATTTTTGTTGTTTTGTCTCTCACAGTCTGTGGTTTCTCCCCAAATTTATCTGTTTTTGTTTGTTTTGTCTTTAAATATGTTTTTTTTATTTATTGTTATCCATACTATTGTTGTTGGTTTCTTACTTTCACATTTACTTGACATCACTCCAGTGTCATTGCTTGCTTGTTGACTTTGTATTTGGCTGTATGTATGCACTTATTGGTGATTAAAGGGTTAATATAAAAAACAAACAAACAAAAAAACTATGTATATATACACAAACTATATATATATACACACACACACACACACACAAACTATGCATATATACATACTCACACATACACATGCATACACAAAACTGATGGCACTAAATCATCTCTTTATACCTCTTTTTAAACTGGTTTATGTTTGGACATTTCTTGAGCTTCACATTCAAATGGTTCCATAGTTTCACTCCACAGATGGAAATACAAAAACTTTTTCTTGTCATATGCACAGACAGAGTTAAGTTATAACCCCCTTGCCTTTCAATGAATATTTGTTTTTAATATTTCCTGGCAGTAAATTGTTTTTTGCTTAAAATAGTATTTGTGCTGTCTTAAATCCCACAAGATCTTTAAATTCTAAGAGTTTTGACTGTAAGAATAATGAGTTTGTATGATCCCTATATCCTGCCCTATGAATGATCTGAATTGCTGTCTTTTGCAAAATAATTAATGGATGTATTGTACTTATGTAGTTGTTGCCCCAAACCACTTAACAGTATTTTAAATATGGAAGAACTAGTGAACAGTATAGAATGTGGAGTGACTTATGATCCAGGACCTGCTTTGCTTTATTTAATACTGCAATACTTTTCGATACTTTGGTTTGTACATGCTTAATATGTGATTTTCGGCAGATTTTAGGCATCTATTGTCACCCAAAGGAATTTGATGTCATTAACTCTTTCAATGTTAAACCAATCCAAATGAATCTTTATCCATGTATTAGTTCTGCAGTTCCCAAAAAGTATCAGTCTTTTTTTTGTTCAGGTTCAATGATAATTTATTTCTATCAAACCATACTGTTAATTTACTCAATTTTGAATTGATCACCTGCATTAAAACTTGCAAATCACTGTCAGAGCAAAAAGTATTTGTATCGTCAGGAAATAACTCCAGTTTTAATACTTTTGATACATTGCATAAGTCATTGATATAAAGAATAAACAATTTAGGGCCCAATGCGGACCCCTGGGGGACACCACAAGTAATGTCCAAACATGTTGAACAATAATCACCCAGCTTCACAAACTGCCTTCTGTTAGACAAATAATGTAGTCTGTAGTTTGTGAAGTGGTGTTTGTTCCCAGATTCACACAGAGGTATGACTTTGTATGTATGGTATGACTATTATCAATTTGTTTGGAAATGTACCTGTTTGAAATGATAAATTACAGATATACGTTAATGGTTTTGAAATTCCCTCAATGAGCCTTTTCACAACAGTCATATTAATGTCATCACAGTCAGTAGGTGTCTTATTTGTATATATAGCAACAGTATCTAAAATTTATTTCTCATCCATTGCAGTGAGGAAAATTTAACTCTATTAATGAAATTATCATTCAGCTCCTCAGTTCCTGGATCAGGGATTTGTTTTGCAAGATCAGGTCCAACACTTACAAAGAATTTAATGAAACTGTTAGCCACTTCATTTATATTATACTTCTCAGTGCTATCAATAATAAAATATTTAGGGTAATTTACTTGTCCAGAAGCACTTTTTATTACAGTGTTCAATATTTTCCAT